GTGAATATTGGAAGGACTGTTAATGTAGTTGATGGCAAAGTTTCCAATTTGAAGTCGCATGATTGTCACGTGCTTTTGCAACAGTTATTGGAAGTTGGAATTAGGCCATTTCTCACACGACAAATACGAGATACATTTTCTGAGTTAAGTAATTTCTTTAAACAATTATGCTCGAGGACTTTACATGTCAAAGACTTAGAAGATTTAGAAAAAGGGATTGCTATTATTCTCTCAAAACTTGAAAGAATATATCCTCCAACCTTTTTTGATATTATGGTTCATTTAGCTGTACACTTACCTCGAGAAGCTATTCTTGGTGGTCTTGTTCACGCTAGATGGATATATCCTTTCGAACGATATATGAGAATTCTTAAACAATATGTTCGAAATAAAGCTCGCCCAGAAGGATCAATTGCAGAGGCGTATATAGTGAACGAAGCTTTGACTTTCTGTTCAATGTATTTTCATGGGATAAAAACGAGATTCAATTGGCCTGAACGAAATTATGATCGACCAAACAACACTTCTCAAACACAATTGTCAGTTTTTTGACATCTAGGTCGTCCTATAGGAAAGAAGGACTTAATCAGACTTGATAAGAATTTTTTAACATTTTTTACTCTAATTCAAAATATTGCTACAGATGAATCTGGAGACTAATCAGTTTGTTGGTGACATTGAATTCCACCAAGTTATGTATACCAATCACAAAACAAAACAATGGTGCAACCCGCAAGCTGAACAAGATTACGTGAGTGGTTATTTTTAATTAATACACATGCACGTTTTGTAAATGAACAGGTTTTATGTGCAATATATTTTATTTGATGTTATTATGTTAATAATGCAGTTTCCTTACCTTTAATTGCTTAGAGTGGCAGTAGACTTTTTATTTTATTTTATTTTTGTTCCCAAAAACAAAAGAAAATGGAATCATATGGATTTAATATTTTTCACACAAGCTTTTTTTTTTCTTGTTAGGATTAAACACTACAATCAATATGTATTTTTATAATTATTGTCTAGTCTTAAAAACCTGTCTAAAATGTTGGCTCTTAAAATGGACCTGGCTTTTGTTTTCTTGTTAGGATTAAACTTGTCTGCAATCAATTGAGTATCGCCGTAAGTCTTTCACACATTCCTTTTTTCCGAACAAGAAATGGGAAATGGTGGTGAGAAGTTCTTTGTTGTGGCAGGCTACAACATGCGTATGATTATCATTAGCTTATTTAAAAAATAACAATATATACAACATGAATACATAAAGATGAATGTACTTGTTAGACGTACAGAGCTGATAACTTATCTTGTTGATCTAGTGCAGCTCAAGTTTAACTGATATTGAAAGGAGCCTGGTTTTTTGTTTTCTTGTTAGGATTAAAAGGAACTTGGCTTTTTTTTCTTTTCTTTTCTTTTTTTTGCAGAATAAAATGTTGGCTCTTAGAGATTTGCAGACCCAGCAATCTTCAAATGCAGTATCAAACGGCAATACTCATCATGTTCCTCTCACAAAAGAAGACATTGTTCAAAGGGTTCGGAAGCCTCGTTCGGGATATATCCGAGGGAGGGGAAAAATTCTAAAAGGATCTTATAGTTCTTGTGGTGCACAAAGTGAGAATGACGAAGTAGTCATGGAGTTGAACAAACTTGCATCATATGAGAACAAACTTGATGCATGTACATCATTTATTCAACAATTAACCTCTCAACTGAACATGCAATTTCCTGGCTGCTTTGCTCAATTTGATCCAAGAACCACCTTTTCTCTACCTTTGCCACCACAACACCCTTCGCAGGATGATGATGACGACGATGATGCTTATCGTCCCGTGATCTCGAGAGATTCATGTTATTAGACTTACAGTTTAAACCTTTAAGTTCACGTATAAATTTATATTATAAACTTCTACTTTTGGATATTGATAATATGCTTGAAACTATTATGTTTGTTTTTTTATCATTAGTTAATATGAGCTCTTAAATTTATGTTATTATTATTTATTAATTTATTAATTGTATATTTAAAATGATAATATAATTTAATAAATAAATTCAAAATAATAATGCAATATAAATTTATGCTAAAAAATAATTAAAAGCACGGTTTCTTAAAAAATGAAGAAGTTGTCGACGCATTAGGTGTAGGTAATTTTAATTTTGAGGATATTTGTTGATGATTTGAGGAATTTTATCTTTTGAAACTTGCCGACGATAATGGCGTCAGTAAATTTCCTTAAAAATACGAGGGAATTGCATTTTAAGTAACTTGACGACGCTATTTTGGCGTCGACAACTTCTAATCAACTTAGCGACGCGTTGACTACGTCACTAAGTGCACTTTGCTACGCTAAGTTAGCAACACCTTTAGTGACATTGTAGTGGCATTAGAAAATTAATTTACCGACGCCTTCTAATACTTACCAACGCAATTAATGCATCAAAAATCACACTTTTTCTAGTAGTATAACATTAGTAATTAAGTCGCATATTATTTCCCATTATGACCTAAAAAAGATCAAGGGGAGCAACCATCTCTGACATATCGGCCATTACATTTCTCCTTTGGCTTCTGTGGCACGCAATGTTTGTAGGGGTGATTGCGGCCACAATTTATAGGTTGCTTTGGGTTGAGTGCTTTCCAAGTTAATCTTTCATTTTTTTCTGCATATAGAAAATATATAGATATAATTAATTATTTACATCATGAAAATAAGTCATTATCATTTGGTTAATCACTATTAAAAATTGGTCCAACATGAGATTAATCAATAAATTTCCCACTAATTCGTTCATATATCATCATATTCATATACGTGCATGCCTAATCCTAGTCATGAATTTCAACAATATTAATCCAAATCAGTTAGAAAGGAATAATTACACATAATTAATTAACTTGAGAAGAAATTGATGAGTAATTAATTAGCTAGCTAGTAGATCTCACCTGCATCCAATTGTCTAGCCTGGATTGAAGAGGGAAAGAAGAGGAATGCAGCCAGAAGAATGCTAATTAGTACAAGAAAACCCTTCATTTTAAATCTAATTGGTTATGTGAAGTGGGATTTTCATGTCTTGAACTTCTGCCTTATTCTCCTATTTATAGCTCATTAATTAACTTATTTGGAGTATATTTTTTCTTTTTCTTCTTCTTTTTTGCTTTGCTAGTAGAATAGGCAAAATTACAACCAATTGACGAAGACTTGGACTTGGTCAATAAAACGACGAAGCCTCAATATTTATTCTTTTATATAAATCTTTTAAACTAATTAAATCCAGTACCAAAAATTTTAAATTGTACTCATCAGAATTTATATTTTAGATATTACGGTGTGCCTCTCCAAGTTTAAACTTTATTAAATGTCTCTCCTTTCTAGCTTTCAGAAATTACTAATAATATTCAGCTTACTTCCTAGAGTTGGAGAAAAAGACCAACACGGTTCAAATTGGAAAGAAAAATTTTAGTTTATCTGATATAATAATATTCAAGGAAAAGAAAGAGGAAGAATCTTTGATATTTCTACCATTAAAGTTGTAGGTGCCTGCATATTCACTAAGCGAAAAACAAATTTTGACAAGTCTGACCAGTTTGTCAAGATTTTTCTCCCAATTGATATTAATAATGTAGCAAGCAGCAAAAGTCATCTCTGATTTCAGAGAAAGGGAGATAAATAATTTTTAGTGTTATGGGTTTAAATTTTTATTTTTTATTATTATTTTTAATTAAATAACTATATTAGGTAAAAAGTTATTAATTAAGAATAAATTATAAAAATTAATATTTATACATTTTAAAAATAAATTCAGCACTTTTCTCACCGATTTTCCACCCTTTCCAGCTTCAAGCAACAATCAACAATCAACAATTAAAGAATCCCCATTTCTACAGAAAATTTCCATCGAAATTTTTGTATTTGGACATTGCCAATCGAAAGAAGGTACAATTTTTTTCCGTACAATATCAGCGATATTTCGGAACATGAGCACATTCCACCATGTAGATAACTAACTCTTATCCACACCAAGCCCCACATAACACTTTTCTTTTTTTTGGCCAATGGCATTTTTTTTCTCTCATGATTGTTTTTCCGATTATGTCGTTTTTGCATTGCTGTTGTTTTGGTTGAATTTTGATGTTGTCGTTCTCTATGCTAATATTCATTCTTGTTGATGTCGTTGTTTCTTTCAGGTAATTATAATTTCTAAATATAGTTTTTGTTACGAATAATAACTATTTACCTCAGTCAAAGTTAGTATGCAAGTCAATTAAAGTTACTATTAATGTCAGAATCTTATTGTATAAATAGTAACCGTAAATAGTAACTAATGTGTAAATAGTGCTGCAAATTTTTCTAAATAGAGCTCTAAAACTCTTCATTTTATATACGTTCACAAGATTAATAAAACTCTCTCTCTAAAGTTCTCTTTTTAGTTTTGGATTTTCTTAGTTTTCATAACAGTTTTCTTATTCTCTAGCGGTTTCTAGGCGATTCTTCATTGTTGTTTATTTCAATTTTTGTCGTTTTTGTATTCATGTCTTTTCTTGTGGTTTTTATTATTTCACCTTCAGCTCACCATTTTTTTTCCCCCTCGATAAATTCGTTTTTGTATTGTCGCTTCCCATGTTAATATTCTTTCTCGTCATTATCGCTTTCTTAATACTTTGTCGTTCTATCTAATATCGTTTCCTTGAGTTGTTGCTTTTCAGGTCATCGTTGCAGTATTGTTTTCAGTCGTTTATGATGCTGTTGTTCAGTCTCCAACGATGTTGTTTAGGTGTTATTGTCGTTTTATGTTGATGTGCTCTCTTCTTGTATTTGTTTTATGTTAATGTTACTGTTGTTTAGTCTCAAACGGTGTCGTTTGCGTATAATTTCCTCAGGTCCTTATATTTCTTCTTGTCGTTTGTTCATAAATTACATGTCGTTGGTATTTTTTTTTTTCTTAAATTTGTTTCTTAACAATTTTTTACATGAATTTGTAATGTTTTCCTCTCTCACTCATTGGTCCCCACATCCTTTTTTCATAGTAGTACTTAAAACAAAAATGCTACAGCTTCACTTCAAACTTTAAATGATGAGTGGTGCAGTATCTCTGTCTAACCAAAGAAAAAGGATTTGCGGTACTCATCAGATAGAAGGCCTACTTTGCGCATGGACAAGAGTCGTGCAATTACACTTCTAAAGGTACATACATCACTTCTTGTCTAGAGGAAGTTTCTCTGAAATGATCCCGATGAAAACTTTGAAGATAAACCAGCAGCCATGTTTTCTGATTCAAAATTTACACTTTTCCTGCCAGCTACCAGGTCCTTCTCGCGATCCCAAGGCTTCCATGGGTGTTGCCCAACCCAATCTTCATTCTCTACTTTCTGTACAGATTTTTTCTTCGAACGGCTGGTGGCCCTTTCTTCCTGGTGCTTTTGTACCAATGATTTTGATCGTTTTTCTTTGTTATACTTGTCCACTAAATCTGCATCTGAATGCTTCTGCACTTCGTTTGAAGCCAGAGCAGTCGCTTCACTATATGCTTCTAGAAAACTGCCATGGGAAACCAAAGGTGTTGCTAAGTCTTTCGTGCTGGAAGGAAACAAATAATGATAGATTTCAAAACGCATAATGCCAGTTGTTAACAGACACTACATACTTCATCTTTGCCTTTTGTGCTCTGCCTGAAGGGGTATCCGTCCATGCGCTTGTGTCACCACGTCCTTCTTTTGCGCTTCTGCTAAACGCTCTCGTGGAATGCACAGTCACACCAGGCTGAGAAAGTTCATGAGGTTATGAGTTTGGCTTTGGCAGATTATGAATGGCATAGACTTTCAATAACAGTCAAAGACAAGGATCCTTTTACATGTTCACTCATGTATTTGTTCATGAAAATTTTTTAAGCAAACTCATCCTTCTCCCAAGTGAATTTAAAAACGAACTTCAAAAAGAAAAATTAGGAGCATCAGCATTAGCATAAAAAAAAAAAAAAAAAAGAGTACAATTTGGCTCCAAATTTTTGACATAAGCTATCCAGTAACACTTTTATTCCGTAATTTGGAAGTTGCTAGTAATTACACTCTCATATCCTGGATTACTATGGCTCCGGCTTTACACACGTCTGACATTAGGGAGAGTGAACCAATAAAATCTCAATCACTTGAAGAATATGAGATGAGGTTCTCTAGTGAGTAGTGACAAAGCCAAGGAATTCAACAAGACAAGGAAACATTAAAACAGGACTTACTTTTCTTTCAGGAGGTAGAGTTGTCATCCACTCATCTCTCTGTGGTGCTACCTTAACATCAATCTCTGGCTCGGCCAAGAGCTCGTCATCACCCTCCATGGATATACCTGCCAAAAACTTAGGTGTCTTAGAGTATGATCGACAAGTAATTGCACAATGATGAGATATTGACACCCATAAAAGAAAGACAGCCAGGAATTATCGATTTGACTGATCCAAAATATTGATTCTATTAATACCAAAGTATCTAAAGCATACTGTACTCATACAATTTTCTATTGTTAAGACTTATCATGAACGTAAGAGTCAGAGCTCAAAATTCAAACAGAAAACTTAATAGAGATTTTCTCTAATCTATATCGGCAAAAATCAGCTGACCTTGTGACCTCCTCCATTGAGCAGCCTCACGCATTGCTCGCAACTCAACCTGCAGCAGCAAAACACAGTAGGTAAAAGGGAAGCTTTCCCAAGTATAATCAGACCCAGTAATTAGGCGGAAATTTAACCTTAAATTTCTCTTGTTCCTCCTTGAATTTGATTTTCTCATCCAGTGCTTTTTTCTACAAAATGAAACCAATACAGGAAAATAACATTAAATCACAAGTGAAAAGAGGACAGATAAATAAAAATTAAACTAAGGAGAAGAAATCTGTCTGGAAAACCTCACCTTCTCAGGATCTTGTAATTCTTTAAACGCTTTATTTAGTTTGATAAATGCTTGGTGGGCTTGAGGATGATGACATTTATCAGGGTGCACCAAAAGGGAAATTTTCCAATACCTACAGAGATAAAAGAATTTAAGAGGCAGAACCATAAGCACTGTTGGTTTAAGGGCATGGCCATTAAGGCAACTACCTAAGGCCCCTAAGCCCCTTATCATAAGAAACCATTAACTGAACTTTTCACCTCAAGGCTCCCTTATTATTAGGAAAGCGTTAAGCAAAACTAACTGAAGAACTCACCTTTTCTTTATGTTCTCTGGGGACCTGTTTTGGTTCACTCCTAAAATATCATAAGGGCAGTCGGCCTCAATGCCCATAATTCTCGTAACCTGATAAGTACGCAAGTATGTTATAAGTTCTTCTATCTTAAAAGGTATTGCATCCATACACAACGATTGGGCCACCCAGGATACAATTATACAAACACATATCAAAAGAAATTTTTTGACTTCAAGTTTACATATGACTTGAACAAATAAAGAAACACAAATAAATGTAACAATTCTGAAGTAACAGATCATACAACTTAATTTATTACAGGTACTAGGAGAAAAGTAAATAAGGACGGACAGGGTTAAGAAGAGATTAGAGGTGTAGGTCCTGATTATTGTAAAAAAGCCAACTTCAATACAAAATTTAGGTATATAGACGACATGGATTCATTTCATACACAACCACATAAGTTAATAGATAGCCCTGAGCATACATATATTAATGCAAAGGAATAATTAACTGTAAAAACATACTAAAATACATAAGCAAACATAGATACAGTGAGAGTTGCAATTCGCTTACGACCATATAGAGTTTGTTGGATAAGCATATAAGCTGTACTACGATACCTCTTCGAATCGCTCTGCTTCATTTGCTGATGCAGCTTCAGCAACCATAGCAGGTGGTGGAGGCCCTACAAATAATTCAGAATCTTCCTCCAACTCAGCATCTCTGGAATATTTGATAGAAGATACCCAAAAGATAAAGGTCATCTACCCTATTTGAAATAAGTGGGACTAGCAAATTCTTGTCATAAAAAATGCAAAAGAAAGGGAAAAAAAATTAATAAAAAGAGAAAAAAACCTGAGCTCAGCTTGTGCTTCTGTCAATTTAGCAGCAGCAGCCAGTAACTCGGCCGAGGGCATTGCAGGGCCAATTATCCTGCCACACCACCATTATTACAAACAAGTCCAGATTGTGAAATCAAAGTGAGAAGTATAAAAGGTTCTGAGAAACGTGAAAAAATGAGTAATGTTATTCACCTTCTTCTAGGACCAGCGGCATCATCTTCTGGGCATGCCACATTGTTATCATTATCATTCATCTCTTGTCTGCATTCGCCATCCGGAGCTGAATTTGCGTCTTCCAATGGCACAGGACGATCAAGCTGTTCACTTTTTGGTTCTGTACAAGTGTTCAACAGGGATCCAACAACCTCCAAAGTGGGACGAACATTTGAAGGAAGCAAGAATACTTCATCACCATTTTCCTTGAGGCTTAACGAAACAAACAGCTTCTTTAGATGCTTAATAAGAGATCTTTCGGGTATGCCCTTTATGTCAACAGCTTGCCCATTATCGATCATTTGCAAAAGCTATATCACAAACGAAATCTCATCAATTTCCAAATCCGTGGTTATGATATCAAATTGTAGATAAATCTGAAAGCAAGGGAATTTAATACCTGTTTCAAGTCGTTTCCAACATTCGGGAATTCTTTCAACAACCCTTGAGTCACGGTTTGGGGATTTTCCGAATCATCGTCACCCGAAGACTCGGACTCTGATTCGGACTCGCTTTTCCCTCTCGATTTCATTCGCTTTCTCTCCCTCTCCCTCCTCTCTCTGCGCCTTCGCCTTCTTTCTTCCCTCTCTCTCTTATCTTTCTCTCTCCTCGAACCGCCGTCGCTTCTGTGGCGGTGCCGGCGGCGACTCTTCGAGGATCGCCTCGAGTAGTCGGACCTTTCCTCAGACGAATCATTATCACTCGATTCCTCTGCATGCCTCTTCTTCTTCTTCTTCTTCTCCCTCCCCATTTGAGAGCACAAATTACCGTAACCCTAGCAGCTTGGATTGATTTTTATATGCAAACAGAATCAGCTGGGGAGGTGGAGACGGGGTCGAAGGCGAAGACCTGGTTGGTCTTGGAGGAGGTGGTTGTGGAGGCCGTACAGGAAGAACTGAGGGCGGCCGGCGGCGATAGTGGAGGAGATGATGGAGAACCAGAGCTTGAAGAAGGTGCGTTCTATATCCAGTTCGGATCGTCGCGTGGCATCCTGTTTTCGTTTTTTTTTTCCTTTTAAAATAAGAAAATCCTGTTTTCGTTTTTTTTTTTAATAAGAAAATCCTGGTTTCGTTTTTTTTTCTTACTGTAAATATGAATTTACTAGTAGCTAAGTAATGTATTTGCTACGTATTAACTGAAAAATTATTTTTCAGTTTATTATGTAGTAAATACATTTTATTTTCCAGTTTTTGTCTTTGCTCTCCCTCTCTTGTTACAAAGAATATATTTACTAATTAAATAAATCCATGATTTAGTGGGAAAATAATGTATTTATTAGATAGGTAAATTTACTATGTAAACAATGGATCTACGGTCCCTGAAATACCTAATTGTTTTCAATGTTTTTGAGTGCAAACAAGAGAGAGGAAAAAAAAAAAAGGTTATACCTTCGATAGTAATTAGTAAAACTGTAAACAATGGGCTTATTTTTTTATTCAAACAAAAAAAAAAAACAAATAATGGGACTTTTTAATGGAAAAACAGGTCGCTAGTTCCAAAACGATTCGTGTCCGAGGCATAGAAAGCATTGTCGTCTCAGCTAAAAAGACAGAAACTTTGTCGTTTTCGTTTAATAACAAAAAACGACATAAAATGTGATCCAAAAATGTGTGATGTCGTTTACAGAATCTAAAGGCGTAAATGATTTATCTGCGGAGTCTGCTCTCAGTTTACTAACCAACGACGTGAAAAAACAATTTATTTTCATTTAAAACCAAACTCATACATCCTAATCCGACTTTTGAAGGCACTCGAAGCATGTCACTTTCTTGCATACAATACAATTCATCCAACTATGCCTCCACAGCCCTACTAAGCTCAATATGACAAAGAAATCACTACATCTATGGTCTTGCAACAAATTAATCTTTGTCTCTTCAAAAAATAATACAAGAAAAAAAAGATACACATTCAAGGACCATTTATAATAACAAAGGTCCGAGATTATGAGACCTAGAAAGGGCTGATACTGCGAGCCAACTGCAACAAAATCTCAGGAACAAGCCGTCTCCTCGGAGGTGCCATGGCGTCCTTCGCAAGAGCTTCCTCATCATCAGCATGTATCACAGAAACTATGTTGTCAAACAGTTCATCCTCACCACCTCTCAGAGGATCCTGCAAATTTGCACCCGAGAATCAAGTCGGTTGGATTATAAAAGATTTAAGATATCCATTTAATTTAAACAAATATTACAAAAAAAAAAAAAAAAAGCTCGATTTCGAATTGCTACCGAAGACGTCAAAATGAGTTGGGAGCTTTCAAAACATTGCTTACCTGAAGAAACAAATCTGTATGAGTCTTTCCATCAAATAGTATAAGCTTGGCTTTTGCTCCGACATTCTGAAGAGCTTTATAGAAAGTTCGACTGCAAGTAACAAAATGTAAATATCTCAAAAATCTGGCACGAAAAATGTTTTATACACTTGCTAAATGTTTAAGAGTTAAGACGTGATCTTTATTTTTCTTCTTTTTTTTTCCCTAGATGCTACATAAAAGAGACAGAACTTCATTCAAAAAAGAAACAAATTACAAGGACAAGGAGTCGCCAAAGGAAGAAAACAGAGGGGGAAAAAAAAAAAGAGCCTTAAAACAACATTGCCCAATCAAGCGAAAATAAAAACAGAACACTCCTATACTCCTCAGACATGAGGCTTTATTGAATAGCTAAGTAGGACAATTATTTATATGCATATAGCAAAGGGAACTTTTTCCCATCAAAATGCCCGAAAGGAAACAATCTTCCATTTCAAAATTTAAACTAAATATGTGATTACTATAAATTTTATCTCATCCAATATTTAAAAGTAAATTATTAGAATATCTTTTCGGAAGGATGTAAGATCCACTAAAATTACACACTTTCATCACATGAATGCCTATAAACTGGTGTATTTCAGGGGGCATTCTAACCTGGAATCTGCAGGTATGGAATAATCTGCACTTCCATGAAAAAGAAATATAGGAGGCAAGAGCGAAAGAGCTTCTCTAATGCTTGGATCCTGTATTTTTACTTCAGGAGAATATTGTCTCAATGATTTTTCACCTTCCATAATGCTACAATGACATCACAAACAAAGCTCTATCAGCGGTGAAGAGAAACTTCAATTGATAGTAAAGCAATCAGAGGTAAGCAAAGCTCTATGTTGATCATTAAGTACCTCAAGAAAATTGAACGATAAAGTCCTCGATTATGGAAGTGATCAACTAAATTCGATAGACTGTACCTGTTGATAGAATTTTATGAAGAGTTATTCTAACAATCAATTGATGAATTGCTGCTAGAGGAAACACAGTAGTAAAATCCATTAGATTCGTAATAAAGCACCAGACATACCCTCCAGATAAAGCAAAATAAGCTTTTATCCGAGCCACTTTTGAAGAAGCACTCTCCCCATGCTCATATTCTATAGTTGCCAACTCCAAGAGAGCACAGGCAGCGATATGTGCACCAGCTGATTGACCCATTAGATAAATGCTACTCAAATAGCACAAAAAAAGAAAATCAATAAAGTCAAATGTAAGAGAGGAGTTGAAGGACAAATAGATCAGTTTCTCACTTGTCAGGGTCACCTCCATACTCTGCTATGTGGTTGAAGACGAACAAGATCCCCTGGCAAACATCTTTAATCATATCACTAATGGTACCCTGGGGAAAATTTCTGCACTCATTATATCAGCAACAGAATCGTGAGTGTGGACAATAGACGGGAATTGCATGAGTGGATGTGAAAATTAAACACTTGACTATTTTGCAATCTAAATTTAGATCTCCTTTTCATACTTTAAGTGTCATGTGCTTAGTAAAATTATTTCCAACAAGCCAAGCGTGATAAATTGTCTTGGACATAAATCTGAGAGGTAAAAACTTGCATAATAAAAGGGTACTCTATATATTTATGTCAGAGGTCTAGCCATGCGCACAATGGACTCCAATATGTTGGCTACAGCTGAAAACTTACCTGTAATCTATACATGCTACTATGATGTCCTTTTTTGCCAACTGCAGTCCTAAAAGAGAACCCCATGCTTTATACCTGAATCATAGCCCATAGGAAAACTATTGAAACTCAATGTCGTCAAATATAGCAAAACACATTCCGATAAGCCGTTAATTATGGTGTAAGAAATGTGAGGATCCAAATAAAGAAAATAAATAGGCAACTAAGTGACTAGGAAAAGGGAAACAAACGCTTTCATTGATTTACAGCACTCACCCAATAATCCAGGCTCCACCGGTGACAAAGATTACAACTGGCTTTGCTCCATCAGTAGGTCCTGGTAAATGTAGATCCAACCTGTAGAATCACAATTGCAAGAGAAAAATCGGCATCTAATACAGATCGCATAACCATTAACAAGTCTACAGATTGGGTATTGTTACTGAATATTGCCTACCTATTCCTTGGTTGATCACCATATACAATACTCCTCCGGACGTTGTCTGAGAAGAAGTAATAATATGCAACTGTATACAAAATTTAAAACATTAATAGGCAAGTTAAATTAGTAAAAATGATACAAACTAACTGCATTTATTGCCCCCCATTTCTAAATGTTACTTGTACAATAACATTCCTTTTGATAACCAAAACCAAAACCAAAACAAAGTTTACACGTACCTTGAAGAAAGCCAGGCATAAGCAACAATGCATAACAACCAAGGGCGAGTAGTCTTGTGATCCACCGGTAGCCTACCCTGAACGAAAATACACGATTAAAAACAAAAAACATGAAAATTGGATTACAACAAAAAAGAAGAGAAATTCAAAATTCAAATTCCAGGTACTAAAACCCTTTATTGATAAAAGCCACAAGTTTTTCATCCATCAATTTTCTGCTCTTTAGACCACCGATGAAAAATTCTCATGATCTCGTCAACCTTTGTGAAAATTCGCGATACATTTCGGGACATTATATAACAAGCGTAAAAGTTCAGAAAATAATTGAAAAATTAAACTCAAGTCCATTCATAATGCTTCCCAAAAGCTTAAAATTTCTTCTCTCTTTTTTTTTTTTCCTTCTTTTCGAAGAATCCGTACAACTACTTTTTTCCCTCTTTTTCTGTAATTTATCATCGAGTTCGTACGTACCCGAGATATCGGAGGAGAGTGAAGGTGAGGCGAGTGATCAAGTACGTCTCTTTGGCGGCGTGTTCGATGTCGCGACTGAACGACTGCTGCCGCCGTGGCCGAAACGACTTTCCGGCGAAACGCCGCCGTCTCTGCTGATTGAAACTCCCAGCAGGATCGCTGACGGCCCTCTGAAGAAACGGCGTGTCGCCGAAAGCGACCGTTTCTTCTTCTCCCACGGAGGACGAGCTCGGACGGAGACGGTCGGCCTGAGTCTCCGGCGGCGACGACGCCATTGGTCGCCGGCGAAGAAATCGGATCGCAGTTTAAGGGGAATCTCTGTTGAGTATTGAGGATGCCGACGAGGTTTGGTCTTTTTGGTGGTTACGGAATTGCGTGCCGCGTATGGGCATAAATAATCAAAGTCAAAAGATCATTGTTTTCTTTTCTTTTCTTTTCTTTCCGCGCAGTATTATTATTTTTGCGCGCAGTTTTTTTTGAAAGTGTTAAAAAAAATAAATAAAATAAAATAATACTAGGGGCCACTAAATCTGTCAGGGAAAATCAGTTGTCACTTGTCAGCATGTGAGAAAGTGCGAGTGTTGTATTCTCGAACCGTTTGAGAAGAAGATAGGGATGTGCAGTAGTTTGTAGGGTGGTGGCTGGGTCTTTTTTATTCTCTAAGGAGATAGGATAATTTGTAAAATTTTACGTTAGAATATATAAATTTAAAAGATAAAGTTGTAAATTTAAATAATAATTTATAAAATTTTAAATTTTATGATTTTGAATTTAAATTTACAAGTTTTAATGTAAATTATCATAAAATTTAAATTTTATAAATTATCATAAATTTTACAATTTTATTATTTGAATTTATAAGTTTTAATATAAAGTTTTACAAATTACCGTATCTCGCACCATGTTGCCTGAAATATTTCTTCCGGCAGCATAAAAGAATTTGTGGTGTTTCGTTGGACTTTTCTGTTTGGTTCATAGTTCAAGTCAGTTATTTTAATTTTAAATTTAAATTTTATAAGAGAATCTAAATGGGAACTTATTTGATTCAAATTTTTGTGAGAAAACATAGAGTTAAAGGCAGTGAATCATATGGGCCATGACTAATACAATATCTATTAACCACATTATATCACATTATTTGATAAATTTAAAATTGCAATGTTGTACATTAAACTGTTTATTTTTTGCATAATAGACCCTCAACTTTTATTTTTAGCAAAATACACCTTGAACTTTAGAATCAGTAACAATTGGAGTCCAATAATTGATTATGTTAATCAAATTGACAGTTCGAGACACGAGATTTGCACATGACATTTGAAAAATGACGATCTTTTGCCTCTATGCACGAATCTCATGTCTTAAACCGTCAATTTAATAATATTCGTTAGCTATCGGACCTCAAATTGCAATTGATTTTAAAGTTTATTGTGTAAGTCGTCAAAATTGACATTATGCACACACACAAAAAAAAAAAACAATTTGGGGTGCAATAATACAATTTACCTTATTAAGTAATGTGTCGAGATATAATTGTTCAGACACTACTTAAAGTTACAAGTTTAGGCCGGGCTAAACAAATTAATCTAGAGCCCGTCTCTTTTAACCCGACCTTAGACTACTTTAATATATGGGTTGGAATTTGGATCAAGGTTTTGAGCGCATTTTCTAATTAGGTCAAGCCCGGTTATAGGTTTTTTTTTTTATTTCCCTTATAAAAATGTGGGTTGGTTCATCTTAATCTTGGCACTCTTGGTTTGGCTGACCTTACTCGCTTTAGGACAGCCTCAGCCTGGTATAGAATTTTTTATTGGGTTGTCAGGCCCGAGCTAGACCTGGTCGGATGGCTCAAAGTTTCAGCTCTAACACCACTTAGAACACTAAAAATTAGACAGATGATTTGAATTCTATTTTGGTTGGGGTGATTTTGAGAATAACCTATAGAAAGTTGTTTCAACTATACAATTATTTTATGGAAAACTTAAGCATGGGGACTCTAATTTGTGAAATAGTGAAATAGCATATTTGATAGGATGATTAGTAAATTATAGCATAATTTTTTGAAACGCATAGTTTATAGCATAAGTTAATATCTTAGACTTCAAACAGTATTAAAAACCCAAAAATACCCCTTAACCATCTCTCTCCTTCCCCACTTTAGTTAGGTCTACCATGCTGATATTGGCGGCTTGTGGCCAATGCCGTAACCCGTTGACCGGCAGTCGGTAAATATCATATTTACTAATAATTAGTATTTACTTGTAAATATTACATTTATCTGAAAATTCGGTCGCTGGCACCGGCAACGTTAAATACCGTATTTACTTGTAAATACCATATCATTGGATTTTTGGATAAATCTTATACACATTTTTTACTATGACCCCGTTCATTTCGCCGATTTGAGTTTAGAATTCGAGTTTTGTTACAGTAAAAAGCTCTCAGAAACAGTCACATCTAACTTTTTTGCTACAGTAAAAAGCTCTCATACAAAATCACATCTTAACTCGAATCAGCGAAGTGAACGAGCCCTATGTTGTCACATATTCTTGTAAATACCATATCATTGGATTTTTGGATAAATCTTATACACATTTTTTACTATGGCCCCGTTCATTTCGCCGATTTGAGTTTAGAATTCGAGTTTTGTTACAGTAAAAAGCTCTCAGAAACAGTCACATCTAACTTTTTTGCTACAGTAAAAAGCTCTCACACAAAATCACATCTTAACTCGAATCAGCGAAGTGAACGAGCCCTATGTTGTCACATATTCTTAGGCTTGTCCATAGTCCAACAATCACTTAGCAATCTTAATGAAATTCTCATTGAGGTGTAATAATGTTGTAAGCATATTTTTTATCTCTTAATATATAAATGAGTACCATATAAGTACAGCTCCCATACAGATGTTTCTCGACCTGACCCAGCTTAACTTAAAAGAATACGAGGACGGGTACGGGGAACAAAAGAAGAATAGGGCATGGAATAAGATAAGCATAACTAGTCCCTCCTTGCCCCGTTTTCGTTCTTACTTTGGTACCATCTATGTTTTTATTTTATTTTTTCCCTTAAAATTTAAATGAAAATTTTCATAACTACTATGGTTGTGCCAAGTTGCATTTGAGTAGCATTTGGGATACACTTCTTTGTGGAGCATCAACATTGATTGATTTTTTTGTTTTATTCATCTATTTTCTAAAAATTATTTGATACACTACTTAAAATGTGAGAAAATGTATGGCTCATTTTTTTCAAAAAAAAAATTTAAATAAAAAAATCTCGCCAATAATTCTCTCACAAAAATTGAATTCAGAATTAAAATTATTGACTTAAACGTGTGAATTAAATGAGCCAGTAATTTATAAAAAAAATTTATTTAAATCGTTATATATTTTCATTAATTTCTAATAAATTTACAATGTTTTCTTGTTTTAATATGTAGTCATTCGATTCAGTCATGGTTGAAGGTTAAAAATAAGCAAGACCAATATTGAATCTCCACAATCTCTTAAAAAAGAAAAAAAAAAGATATTGATCTCCGCAACGAGAGATCTCTTTTTTTATTAAAAAAAAGTTGCTTTGTTTTAGTTGTGAACTTTGTTGATGGATGATTTGGTACTAGGCTCGTACGTGGGTCTAAGCCCAATAATTTGTGTTTCACGACACTGTTGGACTCGTTTCATGGACCCAAGCCATGCTCGAGAAACTCTCATGGGCCGTGGTTTGGTGGGTAATCAAGTAGGTCCATTTACCTCTTAACTTTCGTATTAATTTAAATCCCGCTTAGGGGTTCCCTAAATTAATCAAGTTAAGAATAAATGGATGATGGAGTTCTCAACCCTTTTCCAAAAGCCTTCCTTGCGTGGGAAGCCTAAAACCCTTCATCAAAGTCTTCTTTGTATTTATTCAAAGCCTAAATTGCTCCTTTAGCCCCGAACTTCATCTTTTAAAACCTTTCCTATCGCTAAAAGTTCTTTCTTCATCATCTTCTAGCTTAACCAAGGCAATTTCTTGTGCCAAACTTTTGTCTCGGAGCTACATTGCGTCTGCCTCCGAGAGAGTCTATGCACATACCTCCGGTTCGCTTATTGAAGTTCCTCAGAGCAATTTGTGTCAGGTGCTCCAAACGATGGCTGCTTAGCCAGAAATAGCATGAGTCTGACCTAACGTGTCTGACGCCACGTTCAGACCTCCAAGAATGGAAACATTCAGAGCATTTAATGCCATCCCATGTGATTAGGTGTGTTTCAGACCTGGGGAACTGTTTTAATCATCATGTATCTCAGAGTATTGTCTCAATCTTCTTCTATTTCGAGCTATTATTCCAATCACATCTTTGCTTTGTCTAATTATTTTACTCTGTAAGGAATGGTGTGTGCAGTGCTCTGTCAGAGTGCTGTCAGACCTGTCACGGAACAGTTCTCCAAAACCATCCATTCTATTTTTTAGGCATCCTTTTCGTCAGGCCAGCTGTAGATCTTTGCTTCAAATGGAAATGTGTACTTCAGTTTTCATTAGATCCTTTTGTACAGCCTTGAACCGCTGCCAAACGCCTCCATTTTTCTGTTTTTGGTTCTTTTATTTGACAGCTCCATGAGGTTGGCTTGGCATCTTGTTTTAGATGGAATTGTGTGTGCAGGCTTCCATCAGAGCATATGGTACGATTCCTCAGAGCAAGTGCCACAGTCTCCAAACTTCTTCTATAAATACCTCCTTCATTTTTACATTCGATGAGAGAGAGAAAAGGCTTGCATAACTTACTTCCACTATGCCGAAATCTTTTTAGAATTTCTTCATTTTTTGAGTTGCTCTTGAGGTTATGCTAGTCTTAGTCCGCTCCAAGCCACGATTGTGACGACCCTCCTATGAGGAGTGGAAATAAAAATAAAAAAACGACTGGAAAGAAAAAAAGAGATATCTTTATATCAATATTTTCAAATGAAAAAAAATATCTTGAATTAGAAAAACAAAATCAAGTAGAAAAAGAATGCGGAATCAAAACAGATTTTGAATCAACTCTCTCAAATCAAGAAAAAGATATTGAAGAAAATTATGCGGTATCAAAGATGAAAAAAAATAAAAAACAATCCAGGACCAACATGGAAGCGGAGTTTGATTTCTTACTAAAAAGGTATTTGCTTTTTCAATTGAGATGGGACGATTCTTTAAATAAAAAAATGATCGATAACATCAAAGTATATTGTTCCCTGCTTAGACCGATAAACCTAAGAGAAATTACTATAGCCTCTATTCAAAGGGGAGAAATAAATCTGGATCTTCTAATGATTCAGAAAAATTTCATTCTTACAGAATTGATTAAAAAGGGAATATTACTTATTGAACCAGTTCGTCTGTCTAGAAAAAATGAAGGACAATTTATTATGTATCAAACTATAGGTATTTCGTTGGTTCATAAAAGTAAACACACAATTAATC